CCCTTAGGTGTTACCTATAAGTGTTTGATTTGTACACTAAAAAAACATTCAAACACCGATGGAAGACTCATTTTATATTACGAACAATTGACAGAGTAATAAATGTCTGAAACAATATTTCAACAAAAAAATTCTTTCGATTGAGTGATTCCACATTTCAAAATGTTCTTTAATTCACACAAACAATGCGATGAATCAAATTAAATTTATAGACAAAACATAACGATGAATAATGATGAGACGGACTTAAAATATTCCATAAATTAAAAACAAAAACAAAAACAAACATAGCTCTGGTAATAGAGATCGTCGAAATGCTTCCTCATTGAATTTATCTACAACTTTGTTTTTATTTAGTTATCATGATCAGAAGTTCTGTTTCAAACGTGAACATTGACTTTTCAAGAAAACCGCGCAGATAGAAATTTCACTATTACAAACCGTCAATTTACTCTAACTAGATCCGAACACTACAGGTAATTACAGTTTCCATCCGATTCATTATAGTAATTATTTCGAACCTCAAAAAAATAATATCACTAATCTTCTTCTCGGTTATAATTCGACGAAAATAAATTTCTGTACTAATTCGAAGGAAATAGAAACTTATCGCACGAAAAATCATTGTTTGAGTATAATGATTTAAGCAGGCAATTACGTGCAAGACAATAAATTATAAATCAAAATTAAATAAGATGTGTGATTGAATTGTTAAAGCAGCTCTCGATTTTTGATCCGATCTAAAAAAAATGTGAAGATAAAAAATTCGGTCTGAATGAACTCATTAGATCGCATTACAAAAAAGAAACGAAAGAAAAAGAGACGAATGAATGGAATTTAACCTATCAAATACTGACGTTGAACCATTTTTAGCGCCGTATGATTTCGTCGAAGAACTCCCAATTTCATTTGGATTTGAAAGAGATTTACGATGTACACTCAACGGTTTTGAACAAGACGTTATTGTGGAAGAAAAAAAAGTGTGGGTTTTTTACAACTCATTCGGGTTTGAATGAAGCCACTTCACATCTATACCTTTTAAATCCGAAATGCTAAGTATATTTTTGCATACAACAAAACGCTGGTACACACATAACTTCTGTAACAGAAGTGATGGATTGAATGTGACGATTATTTGATTACAACGACAAGATACACATGAAAATCAATGGAAATGAAACCGTCAATGGTCGATACCACGCACACTGTGTTAAATAGCCAATTTCCGATTTAGCTAAAAATAAAATGGATTTATATCTGTCTGTGTCTCTCTGTGTGTACAGCAATTCAACTTCCTCGTCAATTACATTTCAAAACAAATCGAAATGAACACATCATGCACCGAAATGCACATACAAAACCATGCAAACCGAGCACAGAACAAAAAAAAAGCAAAACAAGAGAATGAATAGCCGAGTAAATCCAATGAGCTCACTCATAAATTCAATTAAAATTCTAAGTGGCTTTAGTGATTTAAAATTACATTAGACTTTAGAAAATAGAATGTTGTGTTTTGTTTTGTCAATGGCACATAATGCAGCCAAATGCGATTGCGACGAATAGAAAAAAGTGGTCTTTTGCTAAAGTGAAATACAGAGAAATACTTCACGATCGTATTGATGGACGTTTGAATAGAGAAATATTATTTATTTGATGACAGCGACAACAATGCATAGAAGAAAAAGTTCCGTTACACCAAAATAAAAATATGGACGCTCTTTTCCATTGATTCGATATAAAACGCAAGCGATGTGTGCATTTTGTGTCAACAATGTATGAACTGTAAACAATCGCTAGACCGTGTACAATTGAAATGTGACGAATTTATGACAAATGATGACAGCAACGTCTACGATGCCATTGCTTCGTGCCAAAATAATAATAAATTTCTGATGGCTAACGAAAACAAACCTTTTTCTTCGCCGTATGCTTAAACTCTTTTGGAATGTCATTAACGATCACTCAGCATGGTGCCTGACGATTAATTTTTCGTCACATTTCAATGATTGGGTTAAAAGGTTCTATTTGGTAAACATTTTCATTCAAAATATTGAGACAACTAATCATGTCATTAAAACACATTGAAAACAATTGGAAATCCAACCAATTGCAATTGTTGCAATAGAAACTTCGTATGTTACCGCATATATATCATGTTGCATGACATTCAATCTTAAGTTAGGTACCGAAATAGAAAATGTGTGATTGTGGTTTTAAAGAAACAGTAACATTGGCACATGGTACTTCGAACACCCCACACGAAAAAATGCCAAAATGTACGTTTCACTATGGCGTTCAGAAGTCGAGTATCGTTTCTTTGATGACATCAAATGTGATTTATCGATATTATTGTATTGATTCCTATTCAATAATATGTTTCGTGCACTATTGACACACACACACAGAGAGAGAGAGAGAGAGAAATGAAAACGAACCGAACAATAGCCCAAATCAAATGTCGGTATTTTCACAGTGTGCACAGAGTTTTCGGATGAAAATTGAATGGGCAACATACGTGAGGATATATCGAAACAATATTGTGTGCATTATTTTGAATTTATATTTCGTATTTGATTTTTGTATTGGTACGTGTTTGTGTTTATATGTTCCTTTATTGACCTCTTTTGGATGTTGTTAATGTTGTTGCGGCTGCAGTTGCCTGCTGCTGCACGAAATAATCATAATGGCAAAATAAACAAAAATCAATGGCCAGCATATCCAGCTGAAAAATAGTATAAGCCAAAAATATTAACCATAAACAAGTAGGATATGGAAGCGTTCTCATCATAATCGATTCTAAACGTTAATGGAAACGGTAAATAATATTTTTGGAAAAACTGAAGGGTGGCCAGGATATGTGGTGTATTTATATATATATATAAACCACACGTGCAAATATCCAATACAATTTAGAGCATAGATAAATGAGCCAGCAAAAATCCCATACAAAAATCGCACAGATTTAGCCAATTGAAAAACGTATGCATCTTCGATTCATTCATCGTCAGCAATGTAAAATATGCTAAAGCATTCATCACGTACAACACTCACTTCGATTGTGCAACATTCGGTTGCTATTCTTATTAATACGTGTGTATTCATCTGAAAGAAACGCACGTTTTTTCTCTTCTTCTTTGTCGTCGTCATCGGTGCCGCTTGTCGATTTCTTCTGTTTCTCTGTAGTATGTCTCGCACCATTGTATATGCGAAATCAGCGAAAGAGCGCGTTGCATTTTTATTGTTTACAAAACGTTCATTCGTGTTACGTATTTGTCGCTTTGGTGAAACTAGAACCCTATTCGGCGTTTGTAAAAAAATACACACAGAGAAAGACAGACACACAGAGAGGTATGGGAGAGCTAAAAAAGCAACGCAGTTATAACTACGTAGCAATAGTCGCATTCACTCATACTATTGAATGATGCATCACACAGAAGATCTTTCTTCCTTCTTCTCCCTTTACTCATATTCGTCGCTCCCTTCGTTGCTGTGTGCGTGTGTATGGAGAGTGTATGTGTATGATCACATTTTATATTTCGGTTTCCATTCATATTATTTTTTTTGTTTCATTCTCTTTCTCTCTTTTTCTCATTTTTTTTTTCGGTTGCGATCGGGGCTTCAGCTGCTTTAACGTTGTCTCGCTTTTGACTAATAAGAGCGTAGAATAGTGTACAGCACGTTCGTCCAACAGGCAGTTAATCTTCGATATATTGCGTTCTATAAAAACAGTATATAAATTCATTTTGATGTGAATGCATGTTACGTGTTTGCTCTCGTGAAGAAGTGTCAAGAATTGAAATCGGCGACTTTAAATTTTTAAAAGTACAAAAGTGATTTTTCTATAGTATGTCACTGTGTCCTACGCTTTGTTTCAATATTTGAGTGCGCAAGTTTATAGTTTTCCATTTAGTTTTTTGTTGTTTAACTTATCACTATTTGAAGTGACTATTTTGATGGTATTTGGAATGTGTGTTTAGCAAACGGGAATCGCTTGAAGGTTTTATAACGTCCAATCACAAGATAAAATTTGTGCCATAAATTCGATTCGTGTGGATCTTGCCAATAAATTAGCCGAATCGTTTCGCATAAAAATTCATTTTTCATAGTCACCATTAGACTGCATTTCGAATGGTACATCCAACCAAAAATGGATCGATTTAATATCGTGAATGTTAATTTTCGAGAATCTGTTCGGTTTTTACGGTGACGCGACATCGTCTGCGAAAATTGTACAAGCGACGACCAACAGTGAATACAATAAAAAACCGATCAACCATCCCAGCGAAAACAAATCCATCATTAAATTCATGAATTTATTGAGAATCATAAATTTGCGAACACCAGTCAATTCCACAGACCACACTTCCAATTGTAAAAACATTAAAACGACGATTTTTTCCACAATCTTTAATCGGTTTGTGGTTTTCATATTGACAAAAGGAAGACCGAGACAGAGAGAGAGAAACAGGGTAGAACGTGATAAGATACTGTATTTTTATGTAATTGCCTGGTTTTTCATCGTGTGAAAAATCGTAATTTTCACATTCTTCGTCTAGTCATCCATTTTTCGTTGCCACAACCGGCGATAAAACTATCTGAATGTATTTGTGCGTGATGAAAACATAAAATTGGAGAAAAACACGAGAACCAAACGAATGAAAATGTGCAAAATAAATTAATGAAAACTCTACTTTTGCATTTTGAGTTTGTTTTCCTGTGCGATATTGTTGTTGTTATTGTTTTTTTTTGCATTGTCTTTTGCCACTGTTGATTCGCTGCTAATGGTTCATGTTTTTTCATCCATTTGATACAGAACGCGCTTGTAAAAGTCTTTATGAGAGAAAAAAAAACTGATGAAAATTCATTTATGGAACGAAAATAGTTCACAGACAATTCGCAGCATTGTGAGAGAACGAACTATAATCCAGTCTCAGTCGGGCTTGAATTACACAATCGCCAACATTATTTTCTCATTCATTTTCACATCATCAGTTTTTGTGAAATGCGAATTTTGTTTGCAAACAGTCTTCGAGAATGCGATGAGTTTTAATAATTTTTTATTCTTTCTTCATTGAGACATGCTCGGCCATTTATTAAATGTAATGGTTTCGAAAATGTGTCACCATTTCTTGTCGACAATAATCGTACAATATAATTCATTTTTCAAAGTAAATTAATTTTGGTGTTTTATTTCATTGAACTTGAAGAATGTTACAGAGTCTTGTCTGTCGAATCGAAAATTGTATTGGAACATCACCAATCTGCCGTGGGCGTTTTGTCATTTTAGACAGAATGTTTCACACCAAAGTCAATGCTATCGCAAATCGCACCGTTCACACGCACTTTTCATATTTTTCGCTATCTATTCAGACTGGTTTCTTGAGATTGTGGTATTGCTTAAAGCGACTTTTTTTTCTTCTAACATTTAATCGTCACATAGTCCCCATTTTCTTGGTTGCAAAAACTCGCGGTGGCACAAAAAAGTGAAATTTAATTTGAATCGTTTAAAAACTTTGCACAAAATAACTTTTCATGTTCTTTTGGCTGCGTGCGGATTTTCCACCATCTCTTTCTTTCTTTCTTTGTCACTCTCTCTCTCACTTTCTCATTTTCTCTTCCTCTTTTTTTAAATCAGTGGAAAAGATTTACCAGAAATTTGACTGTGAAGCATGCGTTTCGTGTGCCACAAGGCAACAAATTTAATTTTACCACTCGACTCGCAAACAACAACCACCAACAATAACAATAAATAGCAACGGTATCAAACTCACTCACTCTCTCTCCCTTTCTCTTTCTGTCACTTTCTCTTTTCCTCTTTCGCCCTCTCTCTCTCTCTCTGTGTGTGTTTGTGGAAGTTTTTCCATAGTTTAATTTTTAACACTGTCTCTCGCTCGCGCATAACCATTGTTGTTGATGATGATGTTTGAATGCAGTTTTTTATCGCTCCAACGCCATTCGAGCCATTATCATCGCATAATCTGTTTTCCATGCTCGTTTGTTTTTAGTTTGGCGTACCCACATACAAACACTTTCATTTTATTTTGTTTTATTTTTGGCTGAAAGCGTGCATAATAATGATGCTCTTTTTCTTTTTCTCATTTTATCCCCACAGAATGTGTTGTTGAACAAAGTTCATATGCAGACAAATCACGTGTAAAATATGACGAAAAAACAAGTGAAATAATGTGTGAAAACTGCAATTCAAATAGCAATCAACCATATGAATTATATTGTGTGCACGAAGTTTTGTGTGTTAGACGATGAGAGAAAAGGATAAAGAAATGCAAATTACTCATCTGAAAAGTTAGAAGCATACGACGGTTCGTTTAGTGGCAATAAAGAGGACAATGCGATTTCCCAGTGTAAAAACAGTCAATGAGAAATAACAGTCACGAAGTTTTTCAAGAAAACGACAAGTGAGCCAAACGAAAACGAAGAAAAAGACAAAGAAAAAGAAGAAAAAAATACCCGCAAATAATTTATTGTCAAACGGCGACATCGTGAACCAGTGTGAATGAACCGAAGAAACCGTACACACACACATTCAAACGAAAAATGCGAAAATCAATCGCTGGTTAAGCAATAAAAAGTGTCAAGTTTTTTTTTTGTTTCGTGTGAATTGCTGGTGGTTTTTTTCCCTTTTTCCAATGGCTGGTTGCAAAAATTTATAATGATACTGGACACGCTTGCAAAAACAACACGACCATTTGGGAATGAGAAGCAAAAATAAAGCCGTTCCGGTGCAAGAAATACATTCCATTGAGAAACTGTGCACACTGTCCTCCGTCTAAGTGAAAACGATTAATTTTTAGTGTTATTTCAAAAACATAAACAAACTAACGCGCCAAACGAAATATAATGAATGTGTCTCAGTGCGGCCACTATTTTATGGAATTGTTGCACGCCAAACGTCTAAACCACACAAAGTAAGTAATACATTTGTTGTTATTTTCATTTTGGAAAGAATTCCTAGTCTCGGAAGCTATTTTTTTTTTGTTTGCCACGCTGAAAAACCGAAGGTTGAAAAAAATACAAACCATTTGACATTTGTCCATGTGTAACTTTGCTCAGACAGAGGAAAACGTTGATATCATTGATGCATGCTATCTGATGACATTGCAACAATTCGGTTGTATAACAAAAAAAACGAAGCCATTGAATACAATGGTTTGACATTGACGACGACGCGCGCGGGGGTAAAATGACAACGGAAACAATTTGTGAATGGAAAATATATTTTCGTTTATTTGTATGCTTACACTCGCTCTCTATCAGATTTCGCCTTTTCGGTTATTTCAAACAAAAAAAAGTAAATATATACGTAAAATTCTTTGAATGGGATCTCTTTTTTATGCGCGACAATATTTTACTTTAGAATTGTGATCGTTTGAATGCGTTTGCATCACTGAATTGAATCGTTTGTTGACACGATTGGTTTTACATCTTTTTTTCCCACTTCCCCTTTTAAAAGAGATAACAGAATAATGCTCATTCGCATACAATTGACGTTTCTTATATTTCATCCAATTTTATAAAGTCTTTTTCATGAAACAATCATATCGGTTACATGACCCAAGGGCAAATACCATTCGGTGAAATTTAAGCAAAAAACTGGCATTGATTTGTGCGTAGATTTAATGATAATCCATCTTTATATAATTCAATTAATATATCAATGATGAAGAACAAAAAAATTGAGCCGCAGAATGTAGGCCGCGAAATATGGAAAAAATCATGGCACGTCCAAACATCGAAATACCATTTGGGCGAATGTGCAATTGAAGTGCTGTGTATCAGGAACGTGAAACGCGCGTTTAGTGCACGTTCATTTGTATACAACACCAAGACCACAACGATGCCATTAATCCAATAAAGATTGAATTAAATTCGAAACATTTAATGCGATGTGTAATCCATTCTCTGTTTCACAATACGAATCATTGTTTTTGCATCGATTTGTGTTTCAGTTCAGGTGACATGAAGCTCAGCTTGCTTTTCTCTTTCACTCTCCATCTCTCTTTCTCTCTTGGTCGCTGTCGGTATCTCTCTGAGTCTCACTCGCTCTCTTTATCCATCTGTCTCTCTCTCTCGCCGTGCAATGTGAATAAAATGGGGTTTAATTCAGTTTCCATGTTAATGCATGGAAAAATAATTATTGTACAAGACATTATTGGGGTCAATTCCAGTATTTTCATGCGCATCACAACAATGCTATTCAACAATTTAATATGCTGTCTCAATTTTTTTCATTCTTGATTGACAATGGCGATACGTATTAATGCCTCGGTTTCTTTTTTAATAAAAAGTGTTTATATTTAGAAACGTACGTTTTCCGTTGTCATTTGAGGTACTCTAATAATTGGAATTGTTTTCGCGCGATACCAAAAATAGGCAACATCGTCAAATTGCGTCATCGAAAATCAAACAATGGCTTGAACATAGCAAAGATAATTATGGAAGCGTAAATATCTGATTGTGTGCTGTGTTTTGTTTAAGTGATCCGGTTTGCTCGTAAAATCATTTCAATGCGATGCCATTATTGTTATTACTTTCAAACGGATTTATTTCACAAACAATGAACATATTTTGCGCTGCATGCTTTTGATATCACATCGCAAGGAATAAACAAAAACATTTGGATTTCAGAATGGTAGAAGTGTAAATATTATATTATGTAGTGAATATTCAATGATGCGAAAATCTAAACACGATGCAGAAACCACAAGCCTATGATGTGTTGATGCTTCATCGGTGTCGAACACAAATACAATTGTGCATACACATACACACATATTCGGCTGTTTAAAAAACTACGGTGCAATCTTTATTGTTCTATTATTATGTTAAATAAACGAAAATAGAATAAATGGCCGAATATGTGATGGCATACGCTGAAACTTCAAACTATGTGCAATCATTTTCATATCAGCACTTTTTTGCTCTTCAATTGCATGTAAAATTCGACGTGCACGGCACGAGTTGAAACCACACAACGTTGCATACATAAAACTTTGAGCATTCACTTAATGCCGGAAAAACTGATGATATTCACAATTGCATAAACACAGAGAATATCGACACATTAGAATATATGAAACAACAACAAATGAACAAACCAAAACGAAGAGCGAAAAGGAGAGAGCCGAAAAAGATAGCGATGAAACATAGAGAAATGTTGTCAACTATGTTATGACATATGAAATGAGCGTAAACATCGTTCACATTTATTTGTCAGTGACGAAGAATGTTTATTTTGCATGAAATTCGCCCTCTTCAAACGACTTATTCAATGCAGACATAATCTTCTGTCGAAAGAAATGCGAAAAACTTAAATTCACGGAAGCGTTAAGCAGCACACATACGAGCGATGGCAAAAGTTGAATGTTAGAACAAAATATTTGCCATTACAAGATGTTTCACATATATTTTTAATGCAATTTCCTGCAAACTCACCACCACCCTCGCTATCTCATTTAAAAGCAGCACAGTTTGACGGATGTTTTTTTTTCGTGAAATGCAGACAATTATGATGAACACACATCTCGCATGAAAACATACATGAAACAAAAATCCTTCAATAGATGACTTTCAGCCATCCGAAAATTCCAATTTCCATGTGTCACATGAATATGCAAATTCTTCGTTGAATCACACAAACGCTTGCCAATGCAAATATATCTTTTATATTATTATTATGATTATTACATTTTTGGCTTCGTACTCATCATTTTTAGGTGTTTTTCTATGCAAGTTTTTACACATTTTTTCTATTTTATTGTTTGAAATCGGATCTTCACTTCATTTTAGTTCATCCAAAGTTGAATCGCCGCGTTCACTGGAATGATCGTTGAGCGTTCAGAGAAATGAGCACATCGCATCTAATGTATCAAATATGTATTCGTATGTTTGGAGGAAGCCAATTCGCTTCGATCACATAATCGTATGGAATGCACGCACTCAATGCATTTGAGTCAATCAATTAAATGTTCATAATACCGAATCGATGGATTTAAATGAGGCATATGTTTGAAATATTCTTGTATATTGTGCATGTGAAGCACTTACAAAATGAATAATCGATGAAGAGCTACTTTGTTCGTCATTGGCGACGCTCCATTTCATTTTGCATGCCAATCGATACGATTGATATTAATACATATAATATTCGAATGCGAAGTGCATCATCTACGTGTGTCTCTATCTCCTCCCCTCCTCTCTCGGTCCAGCTCAAATCAATTTAATTATTATTGAACGACCGAACATTAATTAGGTCGTTTCGTTGCTATATCGACTAATAGATGCCCAATTAGTGGCTTAAATATTTCTACAATGTGATTTGTTTAAAGACTTATGTCATAAATAGCGTTGAGTACATCAATTCAATAAACAGAGTCATATCAAAAACTAATTGAATTTCAACTCAGTTTCGAGTTGATTTATTCTCATTGCATCGCTCTCTCTCTCTCTCTCTCGATTTATTCAGTTGATGTTGAACTTTTGACAGTCGTATGACGATGAAACTGTATCTCATTGCTGCCAGTTGTTGTCGATGTTCATTTCTGATGTGTAAAAGTGGAGAGACAGACAGCTGCCGCACATCGAATTCGAATTGTCGAAAATGTCAGTTTCTGAAGAAAACGAAACAAACAGAAAATGTGAACATCAGCGCAAAATTACATCGTATTTTACCTCCTTAAAATTGTTGAAGCAAATCCATTTTAATTGTTGTTGGCATTTAGAATGTAAGTGGTAAACTTTGCTTTCGAGAAGCTCTTCATTTCGCATAATATATAAATGTACAGTTTTAAGTATTTATGCATTGGGTACAAACTGCATGCACATTTGGTTGATGTTGTCTTAACCATTTCTTTAGTTTTTTCCCCCTAGTGTTTCAAGTAGTTTCCTCTTGAAACTCAAACAATATATGCATGAGCGTTTCGACTCTTTGGATTTAACATGACGGTTATAGTGTTTTTTTTGCCAACTCTCGAGCAATCGAAAGACTTGCAATTTCAAGTGTTTAATTCATAAAATAATAAGTTCTTATGCATCAACAACAAATCAGCCGGAATTAATCCCAATTGATTTTTTTGCTTCCGCCACTTGCAAATTTCCACAGCAACTTCTCAGCGCTGTTTAATTTGAACGATGAGCCAAATGTTGATCTCGACGAAATGGCAAAGTTTGACTAATTTCATGTAAAATTAAACTCGAATCGGTGCACTTCATTTTATTAATATAAATTCAAACGCCACTATTTTTAGTATTCGTTAAAATTATGAGAGCTAGCGACAGTTTGCCAAACAAAAGCCACTTAAAACTTTGTTCCATTGTTTACATCGTGTTCAATCGTTTTGATGCTTGAATTTGTGCAATGTTCTTGGGCGTTCGACTTTCGTTTAGATACACAAGACCGGCAACTTCAAATTATTCCAATATGAAATTTGTTGTTGAGAAAATGACGGAGGTTTTTTTAAGTCAAGGAGAAGAGTAGATGAAACATCCCCAGTCACCTACTTTAACACCCTTTTATTTGTCGTTTATTATATCGCTGCGATGAGAATGTATTCGGTTGGATTTTCCCATTCTCTTCGGAATAAGAATGTAATGCAAACAAGAATGAAACGTGTAGACTAGGTGGAATAAGCGTAATACACACCAATTCGCCAGCTAAAGTCGTCGGTTCATCTTTCATAACGGTTTTTAAATCGTTGCATATATATTGCTTATTAAAGCAAAAAATCTCTGACCAGATTACAAATGGGGACCGAGTCTTCACACAACGCTGTTCAAGTGTGCCGACCCAAACACAACGGATCCACCTAATCTGATAGAGTTGACAACGATAAAATGTTTAAATACAATTTCGCTTTTAAATACCGAACATGGATTACACAAATTTTGAACAAAATTACATCAAAAATTA